AACAAATACATTCACGTAAATATTGTTGGGTGCTAAGTCATTTTATTGTCACTGGCCTAGATAATGGCCTCTTTTTCAGCTTTAGTATGAATATCTGACTTAGGCTAAGGTTTCCTCCATCCACCAGCTCCAGGAAACACCTCTCTGTATAACTTTTCATGTTGTCAGACATGTCAAATAATTGATTCGTTTTTTTCTAACTGAAAAAAAAAAAAATCCCTCTCAAGAGATTCCTGAATTGGGTGCTCCGGGCATTATCTACTGGGACTTATTTTGCTGTCACTTTTGAAATTCTCTTTATCCTTCTCCTTCGTGGAATCTCTAGTGTTCTGAATCTGAATCTTGTCTTTCTTCCTCTTTATTGTTCCTTCCCTTGTTTGGGAGAAGCACATCCAGTGACTTGCTGAGAAAAGGATATATGGGAGGCAATTTTTTTTTTTTTTTTTTTAGATTTTGCAGGTCTGAAAATATCTTTAGTCTGTCCTTGCATGCATGCTCAGTCATGTCTGGCTCTTTGTGACCCCATGGACCGTTGCCTGCCAGGCTCCTCTGTCCATCTAATATTTCAGGCACGAATACTGGAGTGGGTTGCCATTTCCTTCTCCAGGGCATCTTTCAGAGCCAGGGATGGACCCAAAGCTCCTGTATCTCCTGTATTGTCGGATAGATTCTTTACCACTGTGCCACCTGGGAAGCCCAGTCTGTCCTGTACTTGGATTATAATTTTGGATGGATACTGAGTTCAATATAGCAAATAATTTTCACTCATAATAATGAAGGCACTTTTAGCTTTTAGCTTTCAGAGTTGCTACACAGAGGTCAACTCACTTTTGCCTGCAACCATTGTATATAATTTTTTATTTTAGCTTCATGAAATCTCTATTTAGTTCCATGTTCTGAAATTTCATGAGGATGAGCCTTGGTGTGGGTTCTGTTTATATTGGTGGGTAGTCAGTGAGCCTTTTTCCTTCTGGAGATTCATATCCTACAGCTCTGGGATTTTAATAAATAATATTTATTCAATAATTTACTGTCCAGTGTTTTCTTTGTTCTTTCAGGAATTGCTACTAAGTCAAATTCTGAGCCTCCTATACTGATCTTCTAATTTGATCATTTCTCTCTTTATTTCCATTTCTTTCTTTTTCCTCTCTTCTCTGGAAAAGTTCCTTGACCTTATCTTACAACCTTGTAAAATCTAAGTCTTTTTAGCCCTCGTATTTTTGTTCTGTGGAGTTCTTTCTTGTTCTCTGATTTTCCTCTTTTATAGCATTCAATTTTTGTTTCAGCGACACACTCTATTTCTCTCTCTGGATAAAACCTACAGGGTTTTATTAAGCTTCTTTTGCTCCTTGTGCTATTTTGTTTCTACTGAATCAGCTCCCCTACTCCCGCTGCCCCAAATGTTTATTTACCTCGGTCTTTCTCTTTCATGATAGGGAATTTCCTCATATGTGTGTTGATCCTTAGTGACATGTTCTATTTATTTATAAATAAAAAATGTGGGGAGGCTGTTTGCTGGAATGTTTCACTATTTTTAGGCAGTCTGTCAATTTTGTCTTTGTAGATTTCAAGATAGCTGTGTCTCTGGGGTATTCAGTTTTTCCTGAGAAAGATGCTTCAGTCTCCTACCTGGAGAATATGAGCCTTGATGTCAGTATTGCAGGGTCGGGCAGGGGACATGGAATCTCCCTGTCCCCACCTGAGGACTAACTACTTGCTTATAGGTATCTTTACATGAGGCTGTTGTTATTTTAATGCTATTGTAAATGGTATTGATTTTAAAAATAGTTTTATTGAAATATAATTCACATACCACACAATTCATCCATTTTAGATGTTTTATTGAAATATAATTCACATACCATACAATTCATCTATTTAAGACGTCTAATTCAGGGAATTCCCCGGTGGGCCAGCAGTTAAGACTCAACATTTTCACTGCCACGGGCTCAGTTTTAATCCCTGGTCGGGGAACTAAGATTCCACAAGTGGAGTAATGGTGTCAGAAACAAAAAACAAATGCATTTTATCCAACAAACAGTGGTTTAATAAAGAGGAGTTCCTTTAAAAGAAAAAAAGCATAATTCAATGGTCTTTAGTATATTCACAGATATATGCAAACATCACTATTGTCGATTTTATTAACCGATCATTTTCATCACCTCAAAAAGTCTAGGGGAGGGTGAATAGGGCAATTGTTCAACAGGCACAGTGTTCTAGTTTTGCGAGATGAGAAAATTCTACAGATCTGCTGCAGGACAAGGTTATCAGTTAATACTACTGTACCGTACACTTAAAATAGTTACTATTGTTTCCTGGTGACGCAGCGGGTAAAGCGTCTGCCTGCAATGCTGGAGACCTGGGTTCGATCTCCGGGTCAGAAAAATCCGCTGGAGAAGGAAATGGCAACCCACTCCAATCCTCTTGCCAGGAATATTCCATGGACAGAGGACCCTGCTAAGCTTTACAGTCCATGGGATCACAAAGAGTCCCACACGACTGAGCAACAAACCCATATGCCTTAGCTCTTCACCACCATCTCCACATCCACACCCACCCCAGCCTAAAGGAATTGCTACATACTCTCTTTGTAGATTTCTCTACACACTTCATATGGGTGGAATCACATTTACTATATGAATAATTTTCCATTGCATTCCACATTCTGTTTATCCATTTAGTCATTGGTAGACATTTGTCTTCACCTTTTGGGTATCATGAATAATGTTGCTATAAGCATTCACATACAAGTTACTGAGTGAACATCTGTTTTCATTTCTCTTGAGTATATACCTAGGAGCAGAATTACAGGTCATATGGTGGCTCTATGTTTAATCATTTGAGGAACTGTCGATCTGTTTCCCAAAGCAGCTGCACCATTTCACATTCCCACTAGCAGTGTACAAGGGTTCCAGATCCGTGCGTCTGACTTTCCGATTCTAGACATTTCAGAGTGTGTGACATGTTTCTCCTGTGGTTTTTATTTGCATTACTCAAATGACGAGTGGTGTCCAGCATCTTTTCATATGCTCATTGGTCATTTGTGTATCTTCTTGGAGAAATGTCTATTCAGATGTCTATAGTGAATTGAATAGAGTCCCTGAATTTATGGGAGTCTGCCATAAATTTAATAGAATCCGCCCCTGAATTTATGTCAGTCTGGTAACAGTGAATGTGATCTTTTTGGAACTAGGGTCTTCGTAGATGTAATCAGTTTAAGTTAAGGCCATACTGGATTAGGGAGGATTCTAAATATAATGAATGAGGTCTGTATAAGAAGAGACACAAAGACACAGAAGGAGAAACACAATATGAAATGGAGGCAGAGTTTGGAATGAAGGGTCTTAAATCAAGGAATGTCAAGGACTAATGGCAACCACTTGGACTTCCCTCAAAGCTCAGTAGGTAAAGAATCTACCTGCAATGCAGGAGACCTGGGTTTGATTCCTGGGTTGGGAGGATCCCCTGGAGAAGGAAGTGCAACCCACTCCAGTATTCTTGCCTGGAGAATCCTGTGGACAGAGGAGCCTGGCAGGCTACAGTCCCTGGGGTTGCAGAAGTCAGACAAGACTTAGCGACTAAACCACAACCACCACCGCTGGCAACCTCTAGAAGTTAGAAGCGAGGCACAGAACTGATTCTTCCTCAAGCCTCCACAGGCACGTGGCTCTCCTGACATCCATTGTGACTTTCAGACTCCAGAATTGTAAGAGAATACAATTCTGTTGTTTTAAGTTACCTATCTTGTGGTAATTTTTTATAGTAGCCCTAGAAAATTAATACAAGATCCTTTGTCCATTTAAAAATCGGATTGTCTTTTTAAGCTGTAAAGTCCTTTGTCTGATCTAGATACAAGTCCCTTATCAGATACACAGTTTGCAAATACTTTCTCCCATTCTGTGGTGGTCTTTTCACATTTTTGATGATTTCCTTGGAAGCCCAGAGTTTTGATTTTTTAAATTAATTTAATTTTTATGAAATTCAGATGGTCTATTTTTTGGCTTTTTGCTCATACTTTTGGCATTATATCTAAGGATCCTTTGCCAAACCCAACTTAATGAAGATTTACGCCTGTTTTCTTCAAAGAGTTTGATAGTTTTAGTTTTTACATTTAGATATTTGATCCATTTTGAGTTAATTTTTATATATGGCATTAGGAAAGGGTTCAGTTTCATTATTTTGCTTGTGACTATCCTGTTGTCCCAGAATCTTTGTTGAAAAGACCTTTCCTTCCCCAGCTGAATGGTCTTGGCACTTCTGTTGAAAATCAGTGGACCACAGACATAACAGTTTATTTCTGGGTGCTCAGCTCTATTCCATTGATTGACATAATGATTTTTGTCCTAATACTGCACTGTCTCCATTATCGTGGCTTTGCTATAACTTACGAAATTGGAAAGTGTTAATTATCCTTGCTCAGACGCTCACTCATGTCTGACTCTTTGCAACCTCATGGACTCTAGCCCCCCAGGCTCCTTTGTCCATGAGATTCTCCAGGCGAGAATATTGGGGTGGGTTGCCATTTTCTTCCCCAGGGATCTTCCTGATACAAGGATCAAACCCGAGTGTCTCATGTCTCCTGCATTGGCAGGTGGATTCTTTACCAGTATTGCCAACTGGGAAGCCATCGGTTCTCCTAGTTTGTTCTTTTTTTTTTTTTTTTCTGGTCAATCAACTTTATTTGAATTACCCAAATGTGCACCAACCTTTGTATCCAGATTCAGTGGAGGATACAAAAGGAAGAAAAGACAAGAACTCTTACCATGAAAAAAAAGTAAAATGAGCTGAAGACACACTGCCCAAGACAGTAAGACTTAAGGATATATACTGAGCAGTAGCATCTGAGTAGCACAAAACAACTTAGTACAGAGTAAACCCACCCAAGGGGACACCATCAGTGACCTTGGCAGGGAATGGAGAAGGGTGATTGGGCAATCCATCCTGAGAGACGGGATAAAGCAATGGACCTGTGTCCTAGTCACCAAAATATCAGTGGCTTATTGTGGACATTAAGCCATTAAGTTCCTCCTCTCTCCATTTCAGTTTGCTCAACTCTAAAATAGAAAGTAAGGATTTGATGGTGTCTAAGTTCTTCCAGCTGTAACAATATGGGATTCTAAGACAAATGCAGAGAGCCTGGAAGGTTGTGGACATTACAGGAAAGAGGAAGGACAAGCACAGAGCCATAGAGGTAAGAAAAAAGTAGTGTTTTATGTGTGTGTGTGTGTGTGTGTGCCTGGGCAATGTATAGTAGGATAGCAAGGACCTTTCACAAGCCAATTTAACTACTGTAAAGATTCTGGAGCCAGTGAACTTGGAAGTAGGTGAGAGAGAGTGCTAAGCTAGGTACTAGACAATACACAGGTGTCAAAATGGAGAAAGAGAGACTGTGTATCCTGTGGTCAGAAAGTCTGACTGATCGTCATGCTCCCCGCCTCACTCTACATTCTTTGCATCTTTTTGGAACTTTATTACAATGCCTTCCCCCAAACCCACACACCAGGATGTGGTTACAGATGCCCTTTCTTTAGATTCGCACCAGGAGCCCCCTCTTGTGGGCCAGGTAGCCGAGAGCAGTTGCTGAAAAGATGGTGGTCAATCCAAACAGCTTCAGCAGGCCAGGCACAGAGGGCAAATGCCTTTGCAAGAAGGTGGTGGTGATGGGCTTTGCAGGAACATCCACAAACTCCGGTTCAGGCAGCCAGATTTCATCCTCTGGGATCTTGCCCATGGCATGCAGGATCTCTCGGCTGCTCTCTCGCCAGCCTCCACAGCCCCCTCCATGTAGCCACTCCAGTGTGTAGCAGTCTCTGTGCCGGCAAAGTAAATCCTGCCCACTGGCTGGCGTAGAACCCTTCCATATTGAGTCATGATCCCAGGAGGAAAGTAAGAAGTGTAGCAACCTGCTGAGTATTGCTCCTCACACCAGTTCTTCTCTTCATAGTGCACCGGGTGCAAAGCTTCTTGTGAGCCCAGAACCTTTGCATAGAGGTCACAGAGTTTCTTCAACCTTTCCTCCTTGGTAAGACGGGCCAGTTTTCTGGCTTTGTGAGCAAGGATAAATCCTATTATGGCAGGATAGCTGCCATCAGGTTTAGTGTCATCCAATGCATAGGCAACTGGAGCTTCCTCTCCTTCAATAATCATGCTTCCACAGTAATCCATATTCCTCCAGAAGGGCTCTTTATAATAAACTATACTTTTGATGACTGAACCCAAAGGCACACGAGTGATCAGCTGATTTCTCATCATTGGCAGAGGGGGATTGAAGTGAATCTTCATGCCCAGAACAGGAGGAACAGCGCTAATCACATACTTAGCCTCATACAATTCATGGTTTAGGGTCTCCACAAGGACATTTTCTCCTGTCTGGTCAATGTGGATCACAGGCCTCTCCAGCTTCACTCGATCCCCCAGGAGGTCCATTATCCGCTCACTCACTTGACCAGATCCACCCACAATTTTCCTCTCCTGCCCTCCATTGGATGTTGAGAAGATCCTGGTCGTGCCCCCACACTGCTTCACATACCACAGGAACCAGAGAGCGGAGACCTCATGGATCTCTGCAGCAACGCAAAGGTTCACAAAGAGAATAGCAAGCTGCTTCGAAGATTCTGTCCAGCAGATCTTGTCTAGCAGCTCCTTCATTGTCATCAGGTCCCACTGTTCTGCAAGGGGTGCCTTCCACGGGGCATCACTGGGAATCTCTCGTCCCATGTCATCCATCGTCCTCCAAAGGTTGTTATGATCTGAAATGCCGCCCCCCACCACGACCACGTCGCATTTGTTGCTCATGTTGCTCGCCTCTCTCCGGGCCACCTGGGCGCCAGCTGCTTCNAGGGATCTTCCTGATACAAGGATCAAACCCGAGTGTCTCATGTCTCCTGCATTGGCAGGTGGATTCTTTACCAGTATTGCCAACTGGGAAGCCATCGGTTCTCCTAGTTTGTTCTTTTTTTTTAAGATAGTTCAGGGTATTCTGGATCTCTTGCAATTCCTTATAAGTTTTAGAATCAAATTGCTAACTTCTGCAAAAATAGTTGAGATTCTGATAGAAACTGCATTGAATCTATAGACCAATTTAGGGAATATTGCCGTCTTAGCAATATTAAGTCTGCAGGTCCATGAACATGGGATGTTTCCACTTACTTAGATATTTAATTTCTTGTTTTGTTTTTTAGATAGCTTCTGGAATATTTTACTCTTTTTACTGCTACTGTAAGTGGAACTGTCTTATTTTTATGTTTGGATTGTTCATTGCAAGTGTTTATAAACATAATTGAATTTTGTATATTGATCTTACATCTTACAACTTTGTTGAACTTGTTTATTACATCTAATAGTTTTTTAGTAGATTCCTTAGGATTTTCTGTGTACAAAATCATGTCACAAATAGAGATAATTTTATTTCTTAATTTCCAAACTGGATGCCTTTTATTTCTCTCTCTCTTTTTAGATGTGGCTGGAGAAGCCATCCTTGTTTTGTTTCTGATCTTCGGAGGAAAGCATTCAACATTAACCATTAAGTATCATGTTAGCTGTGGGATTTTAATAGATGCTCTTTATCAGCTTGAGGAAGCTGTCTCCTAAAAGTTTGTTGAATTTTTAATCATGAAAGGGTTTTGGATTGTTACATGAATTTTTAAAGTGACCCTCCTCCCCGATGGATAACTCAGTAAGAGATACCTCTTTCTGCATGGATGATATAGAAAAAGGCACTCCCACACCCTCCAACTGGATGTTTTAGAAAAGCCAGCCCCACTCTGGGTGGCAATCCTACATTAGTGTGAGCTAAGTGCTCCTCTCTCACGGGGTACTCTATTTCAGGACCTAATCTGTACAAGGCAGTCTTGCCCCACAATCCTTTTTCTTTTCCCCCCAGTATCTGGTTTCCTAGTGCCTGGGGCCTCTCTAACTCAATTTCTTCCAGAGATTTCATACCAATGGCTGAGGTGTTGAAGTGGGTCAGATATAAAACCTGATGTCGATTTTAAGCAATCTACATGTTTCAATCTACTGCCTTACCGTTGCCTTCTGTGGTTCCTGGTATCTACAGTTCCTGAACTTCTTTGGTATTTATTATCTTTCTCTATAGGTACTTGAGTTTACCTTCTGCTTTGCTAAATTACTTGCCTTTCCACTGATATCTTTGTGACTTGGAGTTACACATATCTCTTAGTTCAAAGGCGAAGGAGTTTGTGCTTTTATTTCTTGTTCTCCTTGTTTTAGAGAGGAAACTTTCCTTAGAAGAAGAGAAAAATATTTTTGCTCTTGAAATCAGAATTCAATGTCCTCGTTCTAGAAGTATGGAAACCTAACCCCTAAAAAGATAAATTACTTCATCCCTAGGCTAGTTAATGGAAAAGGTAAAGCCAGGATTTGGTTCCTGACTCCCTGGCCAAAACTCAACTACAGTTTGTTCTTAGTCCACAGAAGCTTATGTAGTCTGAAAGCTGGTAGGTACCTTTGAGGTTCTAGGTCAGTTTTCCCAAGTTTTCTATGAATCTCCTTAACAATATAAGTGGGTTTCAGCATTGGTTAAAATATCAGTGTGAATGGGAGAATTCACTATCCCATGCCTGCCTATTCTTATCTCAGGGAGTTCTGATTATTGGAAAGATTTTTTTCCTCTGAAACACTTTTCTTCACTTCCATACACTGTATCTACCTGTGCTTTCTTTAGTTACAAAGGACTGTTGTATTTAAGAAACAAGGGACTTCCTGGTGGTTGAGGTTACCACGCTGTGTCTCCACTCTAGGGGGCGTGGCTTCCACCCGTGGTCCAGGAACTAAGATACCCACATGCTGAGCAGTTGTGTCCCAAAACAAAACAAATAACAATAATATAGTGTGGTGAACAAAAGGCTGATTTTCATAGTCTGGACAAAGGATACTAAACTCATTGTCTCTAATTCTTTGTCCAACCTAGAAGTAGACAGTTCATCAGCCAAATGGAGAAAAATCTCAAATCCCAGATAACAAAGGTTGGGCCAATTAATAAACAGCAACTATAGTTTACAAAAATCTAACTAGCTCTCAATCAATTAGATAAGATTGTCATGTAAGAGAAGGAATGACTAATTACAGGTGAGTCATAGAAAGATTTCTGAAGAAAATATTTGAGCCAATTGGAAGGGTCTGTAAGAAATTTCTAAGGCAGTATTACAGGCAGGTAAAACAAGTCACATAAGCTCATGAAGGTTAAAAACTACAAGTGGCTCAGAGAATCAAAATACACAGAATACCTAGTCACAGTATTTAAAAGAAAAAACCTGGTCTTTACTTTCACACTACACCCACACTGTTTTTCCTACATCAGACAATTCTGTGACACCAGCTCAGTCCTATCAGTCAACCCAATCCTGACACAGCTGGAGATAGCCTCAAATTCCACAGGTTAAGGTTTCAGCCCCTCAGTGCCCCCCTTCAGATGCCAATCACAAGTAGTTAAGTCCCAGGTTACCCACAACTTCTGTCCAATGTGGCTACAAACTGGAGGTTTCCATACCCTTCCTCCCCTTGGATTTGATTATTGACTGGAACAACTCACAGAACTCAGAGAAACACTTACTTATGTTTACCAATTTACTAACAGTTATGATAAAGGATAAAGATGAATGGCCAGGTGAATAGATGCCTAAGGCAAGGTTTGGGAATACAGGATCTTCTGTCCTGGTGGAGTCGGGGTGTAGCATCCTGGTACATGGACATAGTCATCAACCTGGAAGTTCTCCAAACACCATACTACTGGAATTTTATGGAGGCTTCCTCATGTAAGCATGATCCATTCCATTTCCAGCCCCTCTCCCCTTTCTATAGAATGGGGGGAGAGGCTGAAAATTCCAAGCTTCTAATCAGGCTTCATGTTTCTGGTGATGAGCCGCCATCTAGGAGCCACCCAGGAACCTATCCAGAGTCTCTCATTAGAAAAAAAGATGCTCCTAGCACTCTTATTACTTGGGAATTACAGGAGCCCTGTGTAGGAAACAGAAGGCAGAGACAAATATATTAATTTATTACTACAAAGGGTACAAAATGGGTATGACTACATGAAAAATTAAGAAAAGTAATAACTGATTCTGGATATGGTGCTGGAGAAGACTCTTGAGAGTCCCTTGGACTGCGAGGAGATCAAACTAGTCAATCTTAAAGGAAATCAACCCTGAATATTCATTGGAAGGACTGATGCTGAAGCTGGAGCTCCAATACTTTGGCCACCTGATGCAAAGAGCTGATTCATTGGAAAAGACTCTGATGCTGGAAAAGACTGAGGGCAGGAGAAGGGGGTGACAGAGGATGAGGTGGTTGGATGGCATCACCCACTCAAGGAGCATGGGTTTGAACAAACTCTGGAAGATAGTGAAGGACAGCGAAGCCTGGCATGCTGCAATTCATGGGATCACAAAGAGTCAGAGACAACCTGGCAACTGAACAACAACAAATATTCTGGCCAGTACTTGGCTACTTTACATGTAATAACCTTTATAAGAACCTTATTACTATCTCATTCTATACATGGTGAAAAGGAAGAAAAGGTAATGTTAGGTTAGCTGGCCTAAGATTATAAACTAATTAATGACAAAAATGGGCTCTGAGTCCAGGCAGTTTGTCTGCCTCTCATGAAATAGTCTCATATGAATGGCCTTCTTAGTCTGAAGATTCTGGCACTTCTTAGGTAGAAAGCTGGAGACACTGGTTGAAAGACCCTTTTCTATCTTTGATTATCTATTAATTTTGATTATTTATTAATCTTTGGCTTGGCTATTCAAAGCAGTATCTGAGACAAAACAGATGGTCCAAGTCTATGGTGCTGGAGTGGAGACCAGAGGACTACTGTTCCAAACACTCTGATCCTCCACATACAACCTGGGATAGACTTGCTGGCGCCTGGTGGACTAAGCTCAGATATTTCAAGTTGATCAGAGACCTTGGCAAAGGGGATATCTTATCTTCCTATTGGAGAGGAAAGGGAACTGAAGTTGTGAAATGCAGAAACAGTATTGGTGGCAGTCAGTACTTGACACTGGTTCTTCTGGTTATGAACCTTTTCTGCAAACACACAGACAAAAGAAAACAACAACAAAAAAGACATTTTACAACAAAACAGCCTTTAGTTAAGTACTGCCAAGTTCTAAGGGTTTAAATTCATTTAACCCTCATAGCAACCCTAGGAGATAAACACAATTATTCTTATTATACAAAGATGCCATTAAAGTACAAGGATATTACTATACAACTTGCTTACAATTTTTTTTTTTTACAGCAAATAAATGGAGGAGCCAAGTGAAGTTGGAAAGAACTACAATAAAATTGTCAATAGGTACAAAACAGCTGTTTAAAAATCAGTAATTTTCAGCTAATATATATATGTATGTATGTATAGCAGAAAGATTTCTCAAGAGGTTACCAACAAACATCCGTCTAGTCAAAGCTATGGTTTTTCCAGTAGTCATGCATGGATGTGAGAGTTGGGCTATAAAGAAAGCTGAGTGCTGAAGAATTGATGCTTTTGAATTGTGTGGAGAGGACTCTTGAGAGTCCCTTGGACTGCAAGGAGATTCAACCAGTCCATCCTAAAGGAGATCAGTCCTGGGTGTTCATTGGAAGGACTGATGCTGAAGCTGAAATTCCAAAACTTCGCCCACCTGATGCGAAGAACTGACGCATTGGAAAAGACCCTGACGCTGGGAAAGATTGAAGGCGGGAAGAGAAGGGGATGACAGAGGATGAGATGGTTGGATGGCATCACCGACTCAATGGACATGAGTTCCGGTAAACTCCGAGAGTTGTTGATGGACAGGGAGGCCTGGTGTGCTGCGGTTCATGGGGTCGCAAAGAGTCGGACATGACTGAGCGACTGAACTGATTGACTGACTGATAGCCGAAAGAAACTCAGATTTGAATCAGGACTTGGATTTAAACTCCATCCCTGAGTGCTGCGTGAAGAATTAGGGCTGGTCACTCTGGGCAATTTCCTCACCCACAAAATGCAGATAATAATAACGAACTCACACGGTTTTTGTAAAGATCCAGAGAAATGATTGTAAAAGCGCAATGTAATCGCTTAAATGTTACACAAACGTGAGAAACATCTCCAGCCTGCTTTGAAACCTGTCATTTCAGTACGGACTACCAACTCAAAGGGCAAATCCCCCGCGCTCCCTTCCCGGAAGCCCGCGCAGGGCTTCCTGGGACTTGTAGTCTTAGCCGGATCCGGCCCAGCTGTCTGAAGCCCCGGAAGTACTCGTCGCCTGAGAGGCGCGCTGGTTAGGAAGCGGGGGTTCAGAGGTCGCGGGGGCAGAAGGCGGTCCTGCCGCTGGCCTCGTCGCTATGTAGCTGAGGGGAAGGCGCCCTAGTCCACGTTCTGGAAGGTTCTTGGGCTCGACCACGGCAGTAGCCTAGACTTCTAGTCCTCGGCCTCGCGTCCCTGCTGGCCGAGCGGAGTCGCCGCCGCCATGTTCGGCTGCTTGGTGGCGGGGAGGCTGGTGAGGAAAGGGTCGGATGGTCTTAGGAAGAGGGCGACACCCCAAGGGCGAGGCCACGGGGAGTGGGGGGGTGCGCCTGATTCGGGGAAGACCCCCTTTCGTCTGCTTTCCGGCGGAGAGCGTGAGCGTGGGGGCTGGGTTTGCGCCCTTCTTTGCCCCCAGCGCTCTTGATAGCAGTCCCAGTATTCACTGCCGCTTCTTGCGTGTGCCTTACCCTAGACAGCGCACGCCTTTTGTTCACAGCGCTTCATCTCAGCCTTCTTTGTAGCGCTTGTTTGGCACCGCAAACTTAATTCGTAACTCGTGAGGTGGTACTTCTCATTTTCATTTTGCAGTTGAGGAACTTAAGCTCAGTTGGCAGTATGAATACTCGCCTGAGCTCAGAAAGGGAATTCGAGGTGAATACTGGCATTTGATCTAGCCTGTAGCGTCCAGCCTGTCGAAGGTTAAGATGCTCGGTCAGTGTTTAACTTCTGGGTCCCTTCGGAAGGGCTCTAATAAAAATAGGCTTAACGTAATTTGAAGTTGATTGGTAGAAATTCGTGAAACTGAAATCGGGAGCCGTGCCTCTGATGACTTCAAGTGGTGTGAGCAGCGAGTTTTCTTATTGGTAAAAAAGGAGATTGTCTTCCTTGATTAATTGTTAGGTAAATAAGTACCTGGAATTGTTGAGGAATAATCTGGAGGGTGAATCTTGCTTGCCTCCATAGAAACCATTCAGGTTCATTTCAGACCTGATTCTTTTTTCACCAAGAGTTCTTTTTATGTTTTCTGCCTACTTTGTTAAATGTTGCAGCTTCTTTGTTAAGTTTTTCATCAATTTTTTTTTAAAAACAATGTAGTCTGTACACAGTGTAAGGAACTAGAGAGATAAATTGGAGGTGGCTATCCTCAGAAAATTTGTCTGTACCTTAAATGGCTGAGAGATGCCTTTTGGCAATGGTAGTAGATAATACTGGTGAGATAAATTTGGATTGCACCTGCCCCTGATAGGAAAAATGACAAGACCACCCTCGGAACTCAGATGAATTTTATTAATGAATGACATTTAAAATATGTGTGTTTTTCTGAAGAATAGAAACGCCCTATGGAATTTGTGTTGCTAACTAATTTGCAAGGAATTTAGTTACAGCAGTGCCTTTGTGTATTTACCTAATACCTCATCTCTCTAATGGATATCCAGGAGGGGTTCGTTGATGGCAACATTTTTTCCATTAGAGAGTGTTTGACTTTCTAGAGTGTTTGACTCTCTAATTCTGCAATATTTGAACATGTTAATCGAAATAAAGGGCAAAGAGACCTAGAGTACCTTGACACTTAACAATATTATTCTTTTACTAAAAAAGTCCATCTAATCTAAAATTATGAAGTCAATTTTCATTCCTTGAAAACTTTTCTTAAGTAAAAGAGGTCCTTTTTTTACCTCGAGTTGAGGATTAGAGTGTCATAATACAAATTAGCAGAATGTCTGGTGCTTTTGACAGAGTTGGCATTAAGAAATGTTTATATTGCTTGAGGATTTGTACATACCATAATTTTATATGCCTTTAATATTGTGTGCATGCCAAAAACTGATAAAATTAATACTAATATGGGCAGTTTGGTGTATGTTCTTTCTTCTTCTGTTTTATTCTCTATTAAACAGAAGGTTAGTAATTTGGGGGTTACAAATATATTTTAGTGAGTAGGCAAAATTATAGATAGGGAATCTGCAAATAATGAGGATTGACAGTAACAACTTCTGGATTGCTTACTCATTTTAATTACCTGGAGTTTCTTTACCTTCAAACTAGAAGATAAGGCTTTTATGGTGTGGTGGTTCTCTCTGATGACTTCAAGTGGTGTGAGCAGCGAGTTTTCTTATTGGTAAAAAAGGAGATTGTCTTCCTTGATTAATTGTTAGGTAAATAAGTACCTGGAATTGTTGAGGAATAATCTGGAGGGTGAATCTTGCTTGCCTCCATAGAAACCATTCAGGTTCATTTCAGACCTGATTCTTTTTTCACCAAGAGTTCTTTTTATGTTTTCTGCCTACTTTGTTAAATGTTGCAGCTTCTTTGTTAAGTTTTTCATCAATTTTTTTTTAAAAACAATGTAGTCTGTACACAGTGTAAGGAACTAGAGAGATAAATTGGAGGTGGCTATCCTCAGAAAATTTGTCTGTACCTTAAATGGCTGAGAGATGCCTTTTGGCAATGGTAGTAGATAATACTGGTGAGATAAGTTTGGATTGCACCTGCCCCTGATAGGAAAAATGACAAGACCACCCGCGGAACTCAGATGAATTTTATTAATGAATGACATTTAAAATATGTGTGTTTTTCTGAAGAATAGAAACGCCCTATGGAATTTGTGTTGCTAACTAATTCGCAAGGAATTTAGTTACAGCAGTGCCTTTGTATATTTACCTAATACCTCATCTCTCTAATGGATATCCAGGAGGGGTTCGTTGATGGCAACATTTTTTCCATTAGAGAGTGTTTGACTTTCTAGAGTGTTTGACTCTCTAATTCTGCAATATTTGAACATGTTAATCGAAATAAAGGGCAAAGAGACCTAGAGTACCTTGACACTTAACAATATTATTCTTTTACTAAAAAAGTCCATCTAATCTAAAATTATGAAGTCAATTTTCATTCCTTGAAAACTTTTCTTAAGTAAAAGAGGTCCTTTTTTTACCTCGAGTTGAGGATTAGAGTGTCATAATACAAATTAGCAGAATGTCTGGTGCTTTTGACAGAGTTGGCATTAAGAAATGTTTATATTGCTTGAGGATTTGTACATACCATAATTTTATATGCCTTTAATATTGTGTGCATGCCAAAAACTGATAAAATTAATACTAATATGGGCAGTTTGGTGTATGTTCTTTCTTCTTCTGTTTTATTCTCTATTAAACAGAAGGTTAGTAATTTGGGGGTTACAAATATATTTTAGTGAGTAGGCAAAATTATAGATAGGGAATCTGCAAATAATGAGGATTGACAGTAACAACTTCTGGATTGCTTACTCATTTTAATTACCTGGAGTTTCTTTACCTTCAAACTAGAAGATAAGGCTTTTATGGTGTGGTGGTTCCTTTTTCTAACATTTTGAAGCTGTAGTGATTTATTATGTAAGTAATGTCTTTTCTGGGCACTTCTCAAATAATTTAGTCATGTTTTTAAAAGATTGCATTCATTAAATCATTTTAAGCCTAGATATATATATATTTAGGTTTTCTGTTAAAGTTAGCACTTTTTGGTGTATTTGGTAATTCCATAGTTAGAGTATCAGATTCACCCATTGTTAGGCTTGATATGATGACAGTAGTCAACTGTATCTGTTAACAGAGCTTACAGCAACACTAAAAGGGCTATAGTAACTTACCAAACTATTGAACTAAGGTGAGTTTCTTATTTTCTAGGTGCAAACAGCTGCACAGCAAGTGGCAGAGGATAAATTTGTTTTTGACTTGCCTGATTATGAAAATATCAACCATGTTGTGGTTTTTATGCTGGGAACAATCCCATTTCCTGAAGGAATGGGAGGCTCTGTCTACTTTTCCTATCCTGATTCAAATGGAATGCCAGTATGGCAACTCCTAGGATTTGTCACGAATGGGAAACCAAGTGCCATCTTCAAAATTTCAGGTCTTAAATCTGGTAAGAATAATATATTAAAATAGTTTCATAGTTAAACTTTTTTCTTAAATGGCATAGCATAGAATATGGCATTTTTCACTTTTCATTATATTTTTCTGATTGTTAAAGTAATATGTAACATTGTTTAAAAAAAAAATTAGATGATACATATTTGAAAAATGGTAAGTGAAGGGACCTCATACTCCCATCCTTTGCCCCTGGAGAGAACCAGTCACTGTGATTCTCTTTATATGGTGTATACCTTTATAAAGAGATATTTTTGAATGAGAGGGTGTTTAATGAATAATGAGAGGAATCTTCTCAAATTTGTAGTATATATATATATCAGTGTTTAAACAGGTAAGCTGAGTAGACTTGTGTAGGAAATACGAGAGTCCTTTTTTTCTATGAACATTTTTGAGTTCTTAGATTTGATTACCCCTTAAATGTTGTGTTGGTTTTATTCACATTACAGATGCTAGATCTTAGAGGGACAAATCTTGTTTACATGCTTGAGGTATTTTGTGTAGAAACTGAAAATAGAACTAGGTACATTTACTCCCAATGAATGTCTGGTTCCTTTGAAAGTCTAGATGAAACATGGAAAGTCTTAGATTATAAATATATCTTCTAGAAATAGTCTATAGAGTCTAAGGAAAAGTCATATTTTAGACAACATGTTTGGACCATTATTTAGAAGGTTGAAAAGTAGTTGTGTATGTTTGTACAAAGTGCTGAGAGAATCGGTAAAAGGAGCAACTAATTAGGCAACCCTTAGTAGGTTGGGGAAAATTTCTGGGCGAAGGTGATATTAAACCTTTTGAGAAGATGAGTAGGTGTTTGTCAGACCTATGAGAGGCCTATTGGGCATTCTTTTCTAGGTGGAGATAATATGGATATAATGGTAAAAGTTTGAAATCGTGGTGTGCTCAGAATGGCACAAGGCATGGGGTATAGGATGCAGGCATGGGTCATGAAAAGCTGAAAAGCTTTTGAATCACACTGACTCATTTGAATTTAATAGGTTAGCAAGTTTTAACATGCTTTGATTACAGACCTATTTGGTAGTGTCATAAAAAGTGTGTGTAATATAAACATAGTGTAAACACTAAAAAATTTGCATGTACTCTGAAGCCCATGTGTCTCTCCCCCATAAAGAACTGTCCCTGAGGTTGTAGAGGAGCCAGTGAACAATTGAATAGGGGAATGATAGGGTCAAATTCTGTTTTTACCTTGAGGACTGTGAAGAATGAACTAGAGCATTTCTGGTCAGATGATGAACTGTTAGCTGCTGTTATTTATATAGTTGGATTTCTATGAGGAGAAATGGGAAAGGGTAATATTTACAGCCAAACATGGTTTATATTGATGGTAAAGACTAACCTCTAGATTTAAGAAACAACAAATTCCTGCAGTCCTTCTGAGTGGGGGTTCCCTGAGATAATTATTCCTAGTCCCTAAGGAAGTGGTTCTTAAAGCATGATTCCACTACCAGCAGCATCAGCCTGGAAACTTGTTGGAAATGGGAATACCTTGTAGGACCCCAGATGTCCTGAATCAGAAGACTTGGATGGAGTCCAAGTTTTTAAATAGGTTTCCTATGTGTTTCTGTTGCCTTCTAAAGTTTGACAGTCATTATCCTAGGGCATCCACTGTATGTAGTAAATTAATGCCTCTTATACATATAGTGTGGTATTGGTTCTGAAAACCCTTTGGGAGAATTAAGAAAATGGTCATTCTAAAATCACTGTGACTGTGCCTAAAAATAGACACTCTATGTACTTATGTAGGAAAAAATATGGACAACTCTGTACTCTGTAGTGAAATCACTGGATGGTAAATATATAGAGAAACTTATTAATAAAGGAACCAGGGAGAGAAGACAAGTCACTTGAAACTGAACAGCAATTAGTTTAGCAGATTTATCAACAGCATGAATAGAGGTAAAAGATCTCTAGGTTAGTATTTCAAAGTGCTGAGGAAAAATAACATAACCGTCATTGGTTATTGTCATTGTACAGTGAAGGAGAACTGAGCGTTTTCAGATGGAGATGGAGAGTTTGCTATTGATAGACTATTACTGAAAGAACTGCTGAAGGTAGTTGAGCTTTGATAAAAGGGAACTGAATTCAGAATGTAGAAGAGGATGAAAGACGCAAAGTTAGCAAAGAAATTGGTAAACATATAGACAAATTGGGACAGTTTGATTATATAAAACAATACAGTAAATAAATGCATAAGAATTGAAGGAGAGTAGTAGTCTGAGTAAGCTTTCTGAGGTCCTATTGTTTAGAAAGATTAATAAAATTGATTCTACTTTCAAGTAGTTCTGTTAAAATTGTAAGGAAAACTTAAAAAAAGGAAAGAAAAAGAAAATGCATGGTATATTGAAAACAAAGCAGTTATCAAAATAAATGTAAACAGAATAAACTTACCAGAGAAAGCAGGGAGACTCTGGGGTGGGATTTCTTTTAAAAACAGCAAACAAATAATTATAGTGATGTTTATCAATAAAGCATCTAAAATATTCTAACGCAAGGACCCCCACCCCACTGAAGCTGTCATAGATGTGTTTAATAAAAATGAGATTAATGCAAAAACATTAACAAGGCATAAGAGGTTTATTCCTTAAGAATGAGATGATCACTAGGAAGACTTAAATATTTCTAGGAAAAAGTAAATGCCATGAATTTGTGTATAATATAAAAAATAACCCCAAATATGGAGAACTTTATAATCAGTATTTTTAACACACTTCTCAATAGTTAATACATCAAGTAAGTAAAATAGGAATGAAAATTTGAATAAAGAATTAACAATCTTGGGATGCTATAGAACCCTGAAACCAGTAATTAGATCATGGACATTTTTTAAGTACACAGAACATTTATGAAATTTGACCTTATAGCAAGTCATGAAGCAAGTTGTAGCTAATGGGAGATTATCACTGTGCAGCCCACAGTACAGTCTAATTACAAATCAAAAGATAAAGCATTGTCATGTTTAGAAATTTAAAAGTAATTAAGTGGGTCACAGAAGAAATAACTGTGGAGATTAAACTTCTACAGTCAGTTCAGTCGCTCAGTCGTGTCTGACTCTCTGCCACCCCATGGACTGCAGCATGCCAAGCCTTTATAGAATAAAACATCGCATCCCTTGTGGCTCAGCTGGTAAAGAATCTGCCTGCAATGAGGGAGACCTGGGTTTGATCCCTGGGTTGGGAAGATCTCCTGAAGAAGGGAATGGCTACCCACTCAAGTATTCTGGCCTGGAGAATTCCACGGCCTGTATAGTCTGTGGGGTTGCAAAGAGTCGGAAAGAAATGGGTGAGTCCTTCTTCAAGGTAGTACTGAAGAGGTTAACTCATAGGCTTAAATGGGTGTATTTGAAAAGAGATGGAAATGAGTGGGCTAAGTATTTAAGCAACCTGTGAGAGGTTACCAGAGGGCAGACACACTGAAACCATAGTCACAGAAAACTAGCCAATCTGATCACAGGACCACAGCTTCTCTAACTCAGTGAAACTAAGCCATGCCGTGTGGGGCCACCCAAGATGGATGGGTCATGGTGGAAAGGTCTGACAGAATGTAGTCCACTGGAGAAGGGAATGGCAAACCACTTCAGTATTCTTGCCTTGAGAACCCCATGAACCGTGTGAAAAGGCAAAAAGATAGGACACTGAAAGATGAACTCCTCAGGTCGGTAGGTGCCCAACATGCTACTGGCGATCAGTGGAGAAATAACTCCAGAAAGAATGAAGGGATGGAGCCAAAGCAAAAACAATACCCAGTTGCGGATGTGACTAATACTGGAAGCAAAGTCCAGTGCTGTAGAGAACAATATTGCATAGGAACCTGGAATGTTAGGTCCATGAATCAAGGCAAATTGGAAGTGGTCAAACAGGAGATGGCAAGAGTGAACGTCGACATTCTAGGAATCAGCAAACTAAAATGGACTGGAATGGGTGAATTTAACTCAGATGACCATTATATCTACTACTGTGGGCAGGAATCCCTTAGAAGAAATGGAGTAGCCATCAT